TTTCTCAGTGTTTACTTTCAATAGACAGAGAGTGTAAACCAGAGTAAAAACCAGTGCTCTGGAGTGAGAAAATCAGGTGGCCAGTCTCCAAAATTTACTATTGAAAAAGTTAAACTACACCCGAAATTCTGCCTCAAAAAGCAGATGCCATGTACTGTCATCTGCCAGTCATGACAGAAATATCTTGAGAGTCTTCTTTTACAGCATTTAGGTGTTCTGTTACGAAAATATCAATTGCCAATACACAAAGGCTGCTTGGTTTTACAGTTAATGCATACAAAGCATCCTGGCATGTGTGTAGCCATGGCTGTTGCAGGGTGAGCAAGTTGGACAGATTTCCTAGTGTCTCCTAAAAGGCTCTTATAGATATACCTTGCTTGAGTGAGAAAGACAAGCTCTGGTCCCCCTGATATTATTTGTATGCAGATCATGATTCTTGAAGCTTCTGCAATTGGGAAAAGGCTACATGTTGAGAGTACATTATCCTGATCAGAGGTATATTCCAAAGTTCTGAGTTGATAAAGAAATGAAGGTCCCCGAGTCCCTAGTAGACAAGCGCCAGCTCCTATCCTGGTGTAGTAGCACAGTCAGTCATTCATTTACCCATCTCATTCATTTATTTGATATTTGTTGAAAGCCAACTATGCGACAGGATGCATATCCAGCAAAAAGCGTCTGTCAACTTTGGGAAGGATAATACAAAGCAAGAAAAAATGTTGTCCCTATTGTCCTTCTCACTTACTGGTTCTTTACTCACTCACATACTTACATACAGTAACAGAGAAAGCTCCTTCCATTCAATCCTAACAAATACCAGCAGTCTGGGATACCATTAAAAGTACACCTCTCATCTCTTACTCTGCCCTGGCCTCTCAACTGAGAATTCTGCTGACTTGGTCAATTTGTTTTCCTATGCTGAACCTCAGAGGCAAACTGCTACAATTTTAGCTAGGATGTCTCCCTGAGATACTGCATAACTCAGATGACTCAGATGACTGTGATCCTTTATAGGACACAAGCTTAAGATGTATCTTGTTTGCCAAGGCTTGAAAAAATATCTTCCAGAGGCACACATGAAAAGAGAGGCTGGTCAGAGAGCAGCAGGGGTGGGAGGAGGGTGGGATGGAATGAACTGTGCAGCAAAGAGTCAGGGACCCAGGGAATATTGCCAGCAGCCCTGGGGAGAACATATCCCATGGTTGAATTCTTTAACAAGTATTCATACTTTTACAGAAACTTTTTTGTGGGGGCGGGGGGGGGGGTTTCTTAATGGGTCCCTTTAGTTAACTTACATGTTATGCTTATTGATAAATTTTGGCTTGTTTCTACATTTTTTCCCATACTGGAAATTGAACTCAGGGGGCACTCTACCACTGAGGTATATCCCCAACCCTTTTTATTGTTTTTGCTTTGAGATAGGGTCTCACTAAGTCACCCAGGTTGGTCTTGAACTTGTTGATCCGCCTGCCTCAGCCTCCCAAGTCCCTGGATTACCAATGTGAGCCATTGTGACTCATGGTGTTTTTTTTTCATTTATGAACTTTAATAGATCATACATAGATGGGATATAATTTCTCATTTTTCTGAGTGTATATGTTTGCAGAATCATATTGGTCATGCAGTCACATATATACATACAGTAATAATGTCTATTTCATTTTACTATTTTTCCTATCCCCACATCCCCTCCTTTTCCCTCCCATCACTTCCCTCTACCTAAGGTAATCTAAGATAACACTATTCTTCTCTAGTACCCCCACCTTACTGTGAATTAGCATCCTTATACTAGAAAAAAAAAATGGCCTCTGGTTTTGTGGGATTGGCTTATTTTGCTTAGCATGATATTCTCCAAATCCAACCACTTACTGACAAATGCCATGATTTCACTCTTCTCTAAAGCTGAGTAATATTCCATTGAGTACATATACCACATTTTCTTTATCCATTCATCTATTGAGGAACACCAAGGTTGATCCCATAGTATAGCTATTGTGAATTCAGCTGCTATAAACATTGATGTGGCTGCATCACTATAGTATATTGATTTTAAGTCCTTTGGGTATAAACCAAGGAGTGGGATAGCTGGGTCAAATGGTGATTCCATTTCCAGTTTTCTAAGGAATCTCCATAGTGCTTACCATAGTGGTTGCACCAATTTGCAGTCCCACTAGCAATATATGAGTGTACCTTTTCCACCTCATCTTTGCCAACATTTATTGTTGCCTATATTCTTGATGATTGCCATTCTTTACAGAAACTTTTAAAAATGCATATTTGGAATTAATATTATCTACTTTAAAAAAGTATACAAATAAGTAATATATTATGATAACTGAACAGATAAGAGAAGCTGGTAAGAATGCCTCATTTCCCCCATGATTTGGAGTTATCACCATAAGCGTTTTCATTCCTTTTGTTTAAAATTATATTTTTAGAACTTCTGCTGACTCTGAGATTGTCTCAAAATTAAAACTGCCACATAATCAGATGAATTTGGGATTTCATTGTCTGACCCCTTTGCTGATAAGGATCAGGTCATGGTCCTCAGTTTCATTGACTGGAAGAAAATATTGCAAGAACTTTCCAGGGTAATTCATCTAATTAGATCAAAAGTAAATGAGGGCTGGGATTGTGGCTCAGTGGTTGAGCGCTCGCCTAGCATGTGCAAGGTCCTGGGTTTGATCCTCAGCACCACATAAAAATAAGTAAATAAAGATATTGTGTTCAACTACAGCTAAAATTTTTTTTAAATAAATAAAGTAAATGAAGCATCTTTGGTTTTTGCCTCTTGTTTTATTCTTTCCTTCTCTTTGTACTTGAGAAAGCACACTTAATTTGAAAGGTTTAGGACCAAGTTAAGGGAATAGATATAAGTAAATTAGATAGGTATAAATAAATGTAACAACAACAACAATAATAAACCCTTATTTCTCTAAATCCACATTCACTTCTTGTTGCCAGTTTAGTTCAGTGAGGTATTTGTCATTTTGTGGATTCAAAATGTTAAATAACAAGATAGAAAGCAACCCAAAATACAAACCAACAAATCAGTACTCATCCAAGGAATAAACAAATGACTTTAGTTCATTTGAATATACATACTCTTCTATCATTCATAGAGTATCACTCATTATGCACATAATGATTGAGCACTTAACGTATGCCAGATGTCATTCTAGACATCAGAAATACAATGGTTTATTTTTTTTTTTGTGGCTTAAAGGAAAAATTCTGTAATTCATGATGCTTACATTGTGGTTGGAAAGACAGAACTAAATTATATAAATATGATAAATACATAGTACATAAGAAAGTGGTGAATGCTAAGCAAAAAGACTAAGCAGGGAGAAAGAATGAATGTGAATATTTTAGACAAGATGAAAAGAGCCCCATTGAGAGTACAACTTCTGAGTAAATACCAGGAGACTGTAAGGGTGCTTGCTAGCTACCTGAAGAAAACTTTCCAGGGAGAGTGAGCAGCCGTGAATAAGCCCTGAGGCTAGTACTTGGCATGTCTGAACATCAGTGATACCATCACTGCAGTTTCTGAAAAAGGAGTGAGTGACGGACCTAACATATTCAGATATCTTCATTATCATCATTATTATCATCATCATCACTTTTCATCATTCTCAGAAAAACTTTAACAGAAAGATTAAGCACCACCACTGAAGGATGGATCATACAATATGCACTCAGATATAGAGAGGTAAATTGGGTGTCAATGAAAGAACATTCAGTACAGGATGGGCTGGGAGTACCAGCATTTGCTACACCTTACAAAAAAATAGTTTAGCTATAGTGTGTGCTATTAAGCCTTCCAGAGCAAGCAGCTTTTACTTTTACCACAGATCCAGAAACAGATCTTGATCCTTCCACACAAATTGTCATTAGTTTTTATATAAACAAAATTAATTCATAAACTATTCATACATCTTACTAAAAATTAAGTATCCTTTAAATATTTGAAAATACCACCTCTCCTATCTTTGAATCTGTTTTGTGATATTCTTTAGATTTTAAGTGTCCAACACATATCTTTTAAAAGGCGGAGGGGGGCGCAGTGCTGGGGGTTGTGGCTCAGTGGTAGAGTGTTTGCCTAGCATACATGAGGCACTGGGTTTGATCCTCAGCACCACATAAAAATAGAGATATTGTTGTCCACCTAAAACTAAAAAAATAAATATTTTAAAAGGGGGGTGGTATTTACCATTGTGTCTAAAGGAAAGGCAGCTCTACCACATCATCAATTTTTGAGAAGACCTTAAAAGAAAGCTCGTTGTTCTATAAACCACTTAAAGCCCAAATCCAGAACTGGGATTGAAATGAAATGATTGGCACTAACTACTAGATGGCACTTCATATCAAATGCCACCACTAAACTTCTATTGCTTTTTTTTTAATTTAGAGAGAGAGAGAGAGAGAGAGAGAATGAATTTTTAATTTTTTTTTTTTTTTTTTAGTTTTTTCAGCGGACACAACATCTTTGTTGGTATGTGGTGCTGAGGATCGAACCCGGGCCGCATACATGCCAGGCGAGCACACTACCACTTGAGCCACATCCCCAGCCCCTTCTGTTGCTTTTTGAAGTGTCTTACTCATTACACTTTCTATGGCTGAGCTATAACCTTAGCCCCTCATTATACTTTCCATAGAGAATTGTCATTGAATCATTTGTAATGAACTTCCCATTATCACTGAGACAGCATCTATTATTATATTTACAAGACCATTTGTTTTAAGCCATAACTGGTTATTCAGACACAATTTAAAAGCCAGTACTTATGAGCAAATTAGTGACAGGTTGGCACTCATAGACGGAAATGGCACTTTTTAAAAAAGTTATTCTTAAAACGAATTGGTATCTCTTAAGGGATAAAAGAGAAACTAACATGTTACCCTGTAGTTCTTTTCTAGTTCTAATTACGTATTTTATGCTTTAAATTTTGGAACAAGCAACCAAGATTCACAGCACAAATACACTGCACATGGACACTTACCATTTGACTCTGAAGCCACTCAATAAGTGTTTCTGCTGTAGAATCGGGAATCTGGCATCTCAAGCCCTCCTTCTCATCTGTTTCCATCATCTCTAACAATCCACGAAGATCTTCTACAAGGTGTAGAGCTCGCAAACTTCCCATGAATGGAGAGGTGGGAGACTGGCAATCGAAGATCCCATTGGAATATTCCAGGGCCTTAGAACCTAGATTTAAAAAAAAAAAAAACAAACAAACAAAAAAAAAACCAGACAGAAAGCAAGAGAATTTATGATAGATAAAACATCATAGCTGAAGGGGGTAAACCACCTAATTAGTCAAAACAAGAAACAGGGTAAGACAACAATTTTATCATGTAAATCTTCCCAAGTCACAGATATTTGATGGAAAAATAAAACCATCTAATCGATGATACTTATCAATGGTGCAATATCTAAGGAGGCCAACTGTGTGGTATAAAAAGAAAAAGAACATGGTAGTCCTTGGTGTAAGGTGTGCTGTGCCCAGAAAACGACAGATAAGAAGGTGGCACAGCAATTTTGGTAGAGTAATGCATTTTAGAAAACAAAAATTTTAGAGAATTTATAGTCTTCAAATTCCTTGAAAAGGAGTTATGCATGGAGGCAGAAATTTGATAGCACAATTCCAAAGACAAGAAGTCCAACTCCCAGTTAACTTGCCAGAATTTAATCTCTGAAGTTCAATGAATTACATGTGTACATTTGTATATGCAAGTGTGAGCTATGTGTATAAACATTTCCCCCTATTATTTTTTGGCAGCCTAGCATCAACTTCTCATTAGCATCAACTTTAAAAAATAGTTTTTACTATCTTTAATGTAGCTTAGTGGTAGAATGCTTGCCTAGCATATACAAAACCATGGGTTTGATCCCCACCACTCTCTCCCCACTTGGAGGAAAAAATTATGGACATTTTGTTTTCCTGTTACTTACAAGAGAAAACATTACACTGCTTAAATTCATACAATTGATCCAAAGCCCATTCTGAAAACAAGCATATATTGCTCTTTGTCTCTTTTATTTTTATTTTCTGATCTGTTCAAAATGACTTAAATTTCTGGCTTAGGAAATGGTAGATAGAGGGTTATGAAATGAAGTGAGATACAGGCTACTAGAGAGACTTCCAGGGAAAGATACTAAACTCCATTTTTGTTTGTTTGGTTGGTTGGTGTTTTGTGCTAGGGATTGAACCCAGGCATACATTACATAACTCAATGTTTTAAATAATGACACTGATGTACCTCTATGAGATTTCAGGGGAGAGATCTGGCTGGCAATTAGTTATAGACCTGAAGTTTAGTGGATTGGGACTTTACCAGAGTCACTGGTAAAGTGTATATTGAAGAGAACAGATCATTCATGGATGTGGGGTAGAGCACTAACCCTCAAAATAAGGTCCATGAACCACTGACATCAGAACAGCCTGAGATGCAAATTCTTTAACCTTGATGAAAAATCTAGGATAAAATTGGAATTTTTGACATTTAAAAATAAAATTTGAGAATAATTCTGGTAGAGAATGGAGAAGAACAAAGATAAAATCATGGGGAACCTAAAGACATTGGGCAGAGAACTAATAGTGAAAATAAGACAAAGTGTAGGAAGTAATAGAAGAGTTGTAATGAAAAAGTCAAATGAGTAGAGGAACTGTTGTTATTCCATTCTTCAGAAGATCAGATTACCTGCTATAATACCATCCATCTGCTCTAGTGCCGCAGCCAACATGTCACTTGCATCACTCATCATTTTCTTATTTTTCAATGGCAAATTTGGATGAAGATCTGAAAAGAAATAATATCATTACATGCTTAAAATGCTGCATGCCTGCTAGTGGAGTCTGCTAATTCCACTTCAAATTATAACTCCACTTGGCAGTCAAATAGAGAGAGAGAGAACTTCAGAAGTAGTGGAGCTGAATTAACTGAATTTTTTAATATGCTGTGGCCAATCATTTACTGTAATGTACCCTTATCAGTTAATAAAATAAGTTTTAGTTCTTGCACTCAAGGTTATTTAAAGTTCAGTAGAGGCTTGCAGGTATAGCTCTCAGGTAGAGCATTTGCCTAGTATGTACAAGCTCCGTTTTCACTTCCCAGCACAGCAATCAATCAATCAATTAATCAATCAATCAAAACCCAACACAATGATTTCCATGTTGTTCTCTTTAGAGCCCCAGGAGTCTGCAAAGGGCATCAGGAAGGTGATAGAAGCCTAATGAGGGCTGCTGATAGATAAGACTTCTTTCTGACTATACCATTTCTACCCAATCTCTGCTCTCTTAATTTTTCAGTATTGGGAATTAAACCCCAGGGGTACTCTACCATTGAACTATATTCCCAGCCCTTGTATTATTTTTTGAGATAGGGTCTTGCTAAGTTGCCTTAGCTTCCCAAGTTGTTGAATCACAAGGGTGTTCTACTGCACTTTGCTTTTAAAATTTTTCTAAATACAGGTTTATAGTAAGATCTAAGAAAAGGGTTCAACTGTATATACACAGTCATCCCTTGGCATCCCTGGGGGACTGGTTCGAGGACTCCTAATTGGATACAAAAGTCCATGGATCCTAAATGCCTTTATATAAAATGACATGGTATCTGCATAGAGTACTTATAATACTTAATACAATATAAATGGTATATAAATAGTTGTAAAATTGAATTGTTTAGGGACTAAAAACAAAAACAGTCTGTACATGTTCATCAGAGATGCAATTTGTAAATAGAGAAAAGAATGCCCTTCATATAACCAAGGTCTCTATGACTTCCATTATAATGGTGAATTTTTATTTGATTCTATCTCAGGAGTAGATTTATTCTGAAATTGTGTCACAATTTTTAACTGTTAAAATATATTAAAATTATACTTCTAAAAAATTGGCCACTGATAGGAAAAAGTCCAGATTATGTGATTTTCAACATTAATTAATTAATGCTTTTTTAGGTACCAGTGTAAGCAGCCATGTAGATTCTCCCAAAAGGCCCGAATAAGGCTCTTGCTGTTTTGTAGATATTGTGGTGTACTAAATATCTGGGAAATAAAGAACACACTGTTTAACAGAAACCTTTGCCCTCTGTTGCCAAGCAGCCACATAGTACTTACCACTTTATCTTCATAAATATATTTATAGCTCTGTTATCAGCTTCTTGGATCAGTTCTCTCCTATTTTTTCTAATAAAATGCCACATAATTCTTCTGAAATATTACTTTGATCTTTTTAAAATGTTAGCTTATAGTAAGATCAAGTAGGTGTCTGACAGGCAAATGCTTTAAAATACTTGCTGTCCATATCTTGTGGGTTTTTTTTTTGTTTGTTTGTTTGTTTTGGTTGTGTTTAATCAGAAACCAAGAGGTCAACAAGCTAGGTTATAAACCTGGAGAATTTTTAAATTTTTACTCAAATACTCAGCTGTCACAGACCAAAGAGATGGGACACAAATTTAATAGCCACAATTCAGGCTGGATATTTGAAATATGAAAACTGAGAGTTTAACAGATTAAGTAGAAGAGTGTGACAATCCCTGAATTTCACATAATTAAGTGGCTCCCATTCCCTTTCATTTTAAAAGTAGCAATATATACACACATATGTACATACATAAACGTGTACATATGTGTACATATCAGACTCAGGTATAGACACAGGAATACCAATAAAAGTAATGCCCACATTAGAAAAACATTTACCACTTCACTAAATTACAAAATCCAATATTTGTCTTTTTTATATTTTTTGTGTAGAACAGAATCACTTTCTCAAGTGTGACATGTAGTTCTCTATTTCATCTGTGTTTCAGTGAGCCTTTTAAATGCTATGACAAGGAGGGGTGAGACAGCCTCAACTATGTTTGTCAAGTGGGTGAGGAGTCAATTTTAAAAAATACTCCAAGCTGGGCATGACTACCCACTCCTATAATCCTAGTAGTGCAGGAGGCTGAAGCAGGAGGCTGAAGCAGGAGGATCGAGAGTTCAAAGCCAGCCTCAGCAACAGCAAGGCACTAAAAAAACTCAGTAAGACCCTGTCTTGAAATTAAAAATTTAAAAAAAAAAAACCACTGCAGCTCATTAGAGACCCAATCCTTTGTTTAAAATAATGACAATATCGAATTGCTAAAAGAGCTTATAAACGCTTACTTTCAATCTCTACATTTATCATACAGCAGCCTACAAGTAACAGTAAGGGAACAATAGTAAGACATGTAATAAAGCATATATAATTTGGCAAAGGTGGTAGGTGCTAAGGAGGAAAAGATGGAGTGGGATAAAAGGGTCCCGGGTTTGGAGGGGCTTGCAATTACATAGGTGGTCAGGGAGCAATGACAGATTCAAAGGCCACATAGCTCTCTAATAAATTGAGAGTAGTTGGATATAGGTGATCTACAGATCAGTATTATACAAGTATAGAATTCCTAAAGATAATTAAAAAAATGGAAGGGGTGAGCACACAGACATGTAAAAGAAAAGGAAATACTTTCAATTAATAAAAACGTAAGGAGATTCTTCATATCTTTAATAATCAAAGAACTTAAAGCATGTCACATCATTTGCTACCTGATTAGCAAAATAAATGGCCACTGCCAAGTGTTACAGAGGATGTAAAGTCACAAAATTTCCTATAGAGCAGTGGTGGGATTGTACAATGGTTCCACTACTTTGAATAATGATGTGGCATTATCATCTAAAATTAAATATTCACATTCATTGCCAGTGCAATACTATTTCCTCCAAAGTATATAACCAAGAACAATACATAATATTTTTTCCTTCATATTTTATTGGTTCATATTAATTATATATAACAAACTCATTGTGACAAAATTATAAAAGTGTGTAATATAATTTGCTTTTATTTGGTCCCCAGTACTTCCATTTGCCTTCCTTTTCCTGTTCCTTTTCCTCTACTCTGCTGATCTTTCTGCTAGTTTTTTTTTTTCCTTTTAGTGTCTTCTGGCTATACATAATAGTGAGATTCACTATGGTATATCCACAAACCATATACCTAAATCAAAAGTTAGGTCAGATTCATTCCACTGTTTTTGCCTTATCCTGTCCTTCCTCCCTGCCCCCAGCTCAATCCCCTTCCTCTACTCCACTGATCTTCTATTTTGATAGAAATCCCCCATCCTGCCTCTACCCCTCTTTATTTTGGACTAACTTCCACATATCAAATAAAACATTCAACTTTGGACTTTCTGGGTCCAACTTTCACTTAGCACAATAGTCTCCAGTTCCATTAATTTACTAGCAAATCCCATAATTTCACTCTTATTTATGGCTGAGTAATACTCCCTTGTGTTTATATACAACATTTTTTAAAATCTAAGTTGTTTCCATAGCTTGTCTATTGTGAATTGTGCTTCTATAAACATTGATGTGGCTGCATTCCTATAATATGTAGATTTTAGATTTTTTAGAAATATGCTAAGGAGTGGGATAGCTGGGCCATATGGTAGGTTCATTTCTAGTTTTGGGGGTTTTTTTTGAGAAATTTCCACAGTGCTTTTCAAAGTGGTTGCACTAATTTGCAGTCTCACCAGCAATATACTTTTTCTCCATACTGTCACCATCAATTCTTATTATCTGTATTCTTAATAACTGCCATTCTGAGATTAAATCACAATGTGTTTTTTTTTT